ATTATATGTAAAAGTTATTCCTGCACTAAAACGATGAAGAGTGTTCTCAGGCGTCACAATTATGTTAAAATATAAACGGTATGTACAGTTTGTGTAATGAGGTAATGTACGATGTTAAAAGGCTTAAAATGTTTCACTGATTTTTGTAAATATACATAAAAAATATGCCTCCTCATCAAAGGTATTGACGTCCAAAGACATTATTTTTTTTTAATGAATTGGGTGGCTGCATATAAAATACCATTTTTCATCATTCTTAAAATGTTCATGATGTCTTTTCACTTCCTCCATTTACTTCAGTCGTGAACAAATAAAAATTTGTAAAAAAAAAGGAAAAAGTTAATTGTGTTGTAAGCTGATAATGACTCCATTTCCCTAACTTGATTTCATTACCAGCGCGGTTTTAATGCCCCGTCCGGATGCTATACAAAATAACTTGAAAGTTTGTGCTATGCGTGTACCGTAATGTAACGTCATAATGCATGCATATGGAGTCGGAACCACTTTGGAAAGACCGGCAGGGTAAGTTTTTAAATGAAAGAGCGAACCCACGTGGTTACGCTTTTTCTTTTCGTGGAAATTATGTTGTAGTTGAGTTAAAAGATATTTTACGCTGGTCTGGTGTTTAACTTCATTAACTGCATCCGGACACGTTGGTTAAGTTTTAAATGGTGAAGATAATGGTATGAAATTCGATTGGACGTCTTTTGTCATTTTATTTTTTGTTCATTCTGAATTTTCAGATGCGTGAAGCCAAGTTTTCATATTTTAACTCAATATTAAAATATCTTTGTTTGATGGAATGAAAAACAGTATTAGGATTTTATGAAAAACAGTATTAGGATTTTATGAAAAACAGTATTAGGATTTTATTATCCTATTTTATTCTTATATCAACAGGATTGTGAAAGTGTTCAAGACGATAGTCATCTTAATTTTAAATGCTTTCGGCCGACTTGATGCAATTTGGCACTTTTTTTGATTCCTCATTAGATTAGCCCAAGACTTTACGATGGGCGCTGCCCCTTGTCTGGTCTATCAGTTCAAAGTTAAGACAGGCTATGCGCAGATAGCCCTTGTGTAGCTTTCCGAAATATTAAAAACAAACGCAAAGTTCACGTAATGTAATCACAATAATAATAATCTAAACGTAGAAACAGCTTAAAGAAAGTTGTTGTTGTTTTTTTTTAGCGCAAAGCTACACAATGAACTTCCATTATTCCAGGAAACATGATTGTTTGTTTGTTTTGAATTTCGCGCAAAGCTACACGAGGTCTATCTGCGCTAGCCGTCCCTAATTTAGCAGTGTAAGACTAGAGGGAAGGCAGCTAGTCATCACCACCCACCGCCACCTCTTGGGCTACTCTTTTACCAAACGAATACTGGGATTGACCGTCAAATTATAACGCCCCCACAGCTAAAAGGGCGAACATGTTTGGTGGGACTGGGATTCGAACCCGCAGATTGCGAGTCGAGTGCCCTAACCACCTGGCCATGCCGGGCCCCAGAAAACATGAAAATGGATGACACATTGAATATTTCTGCTGGAAATATTTGAACATTGTCAAAGTTGTCGATTTCTTCTTTAGTTTGCAATCCAACAATATATGTAATCCGAACTTTTTTTTTTCAGTTTGCAATCCAATAATGTGTGTAATCCGAACTTCTTCACTTTGCAATCCAATAGTATATGTAAGCACGGCTTTATCAACGAAACTGTCTTTAAATTGAGCAACCTGTGTTCACATATCTCGGTTGCTTAGTTTTCGTCAAATACTTTATTCACGACCATTCCCAAGAGCGTTGCGTTGTGGCTACATTTAGGAAAGCGTTAGTAATACCTGTTTTGTTGACTGATTTTTGTGCACTATTATTAACTAATTATAGCCAAAAGCTCTTTATCGTTTTCACGCATGAAATCCAAGTACTTAATAGCTAGCATTTATAAAAAAAATTGATCACTTCATTACTGCCGAATCACACCAAAATCCACCACCACCAAATTTATTTGTAAGAAATCACACTTATGGGGATGGATAATGGATTGTAGTGATTCAGACGTATAGGATGGAGTGTTTCGCAGTGGTTCAGACGTATAGGATGGAGTGTTTCGCAGTGGTCCAGACGTATAGGATGGAGTTTTTCGCAGTGGTCCAGACGTATAGGATGGAGTGTTTCGCAGTGGTTCAGACTTATAGGATGGAGTTTTTCGCAGTGGTTCAGACGTATAGGATGGAGTGTTTCGCATTGGTCCAGACGTATAGGATGGAG